GGACTTCAGGGAGCACGTGAAGAACACGTTTCTCTGCAGGAGTCAGAGGACGGTTGAGAGGAGCAAAGTCTCCTTCAGTGCTCTGAAGTTCTCCAAGAAGAGCACCACATACACCTCCAGTATGTCAGAAACAAAGAGCAGCGACTGCTGAGGGGTCATTGTGCTCAAGTTTAAGAGAAAATGGACCTCGAGATTGAGCAATAGCAAGCGCTTAGAAATGTTATGATTATAATGACCTCTCAAAAATGTGCTGGGTGCTTTGCAAAGAATATTTGTACAGTTTTTTGTTTTTTTTCTCTTTTTTTTAAGCCAATTACTTTGGCTTTTCGCGTTGTATTTGAACTAACCTTTCGATTATCACTTTTGTCATTCTAAAGATGCTGATGTGGTTTTATAAGAATGAATGTAGCCATATTTTTAGGTGCCACAAGACTTTGAAGCGATCTGTTTTTAGGCATTTTTGAGTTATTAAATTTTACAAAACTAACTTGTTTCTTTTTTGAATCCTTTTGCTTCTTTTTTTCAGTGTTACTTGCAAAAAAAAAGCTAAATCTTTATGCTAATCATTTCAAAGGGGTTTAATGGAGACTATATTCCCTTGTTTTTTCCCCATTAAAATCAAAAGTACTTATCTTGAGAATCTTGCTGCATAGTATTTATTTTATAGTAAAGTTTTGTTGCATTTATCAAGTTATGCTAATTAGTAATGCATGCTCTGGTCCCTTATCACCATCTGCATTTCATAATTTAAAAAATGTTTCTTTTCTTGCATGCTTTTTTTAAGGTAAGAAACAAAGCAGTCCAATAAGGGTCTGTTAAATACTACTTGTGCATCGATTCTTCACTGACTGGACATTTTGGACCCAATTGCATAAATTGTTACTAAAGGAATTCAGCACCACCATTTGTGGTTGTTAGAATAAAAATCTCCATTTGAAACTTATTGGCAAGAGGTATTTATAGATTATCAGCCAGAGGTTGCAATCTGCTTTCTTTTTATGCATTTTAAAAGCTGACTTTTTTAAAACCAAGATCAGTACTTGTATTAGTGGAAATGGGCTGTGATTAAAAATCCAGAAAACGCATCAATTTAGACTATTTAAAAGGTCTGATTATGTATTAATAATTATCTACATGATTCTTGGAAATGCTTCGTTGTCAAGAGACATATCCATATGCAATATTTAAGATCATTGATATGATAGAATGGTTGTTTGTACTGGAGATAAAATGTATCATAAAAAAATTGGATTCAGATGTTCATATCAATTGTTTTCTTTCAAAAACATTTTTGGTGTATGGTTCTTTTTTTTTTTTCTACATCAGGATTTTGCAATAACGACATTGCATTGCCCCAGGATGGATAGTCGTATCTCTTTATCTTTAACTGAAGCTGGGTTTTCCCAAATCCAACCTCTTTTTCTATGACAACACAACTGTCTATAAGCGTGTTTTCCTCAGATGAAAAAACTTTGGACGTGAATTTTCTTCTTGTCTAAACATGCCCGTACTCTTTCTCGACAACTGCTTGTTTCAGCAATACTTATGAAGAAGGTACAGAAAGCTGGCGATCAAGCTACCAGTTATCAATGCATGGCTACCCTATCTGTACCACAACGATAAACAGATAACAGTAATTTTAGCATGATATGATGCAACAAATTTGATCTTATTAGATGCACCTTTGCCAGTCAAAGATAATCATGTTTAAATACACATGTATTTAAATTATTTTTAGGGTATTCACCCCATAATAAAATGTATTATGTCGCAGTCACTATCTAGGCTTTGGGTTACAGGAAACATTTATTGCATCCTTAAATATATAAATCATTAAAAAAAATAAGCTTCAGAAAAGTGAATAGTTACTTTTATCCTTAAAATCCACCTCCTTGTATAATTATGGATATTACAGTTTACAATCTAACCACTTGTTTTTATTGAAACTAAGTGGAATAAAGACAAACCCAGATGTATGATGCAAGGTTTGCAGTGGGGTAAATATAAAGTTATGATGTAGGTGGAACTAAAAAAGGCTTTTAAATGAGGTTGTGTATGGTATGACAGACTGTTGGAAAGGTCAAACTGGAGGTTCCCTATTTTCACAACACAGTTATTTACCATTTGTTCTCTGTTTGGGTATATGCAGGTATTAGTCTCTGAGCCGTACGTGAGAACTTCAGTTGATAAATAAAATTTGATCACAAACAGGAATCATAACGTAACTTATTGCTTTCATAACCAGAAATCAGGTGAAACCTCTCCTGTTACTGGAACTTATGAATTAGTTTTTCCAAATAATTCAAACCTGATGTTTTCCCTTTACATGTAACATGAGTAACCTGTGGCTGTTCAGAAATGTAATACCATCATTTGAGCTGCAAAAAAGCTATCATGGAACAGCAGGTGTCAAGCACAGACTGTTATCTGATATTAAAAGGTCTTTTTTTGTAAATTAGCTAATGCATCAGTGGCTTGAACTACTCTGAATGGATCTTTTAGCATGTTAGCTTATTTTACATATATTTTATAGTATATACAGTTTTTCACAGTTTAGCTAAAACATTGCAGAATGTTTCAATGACTGGTTTTCAAGCTGACTTTTCTATGTAACTCCTTTTTTAAGGAATGATAGATAGATAGATAGACAGATAGATAGATAGATAGATAGATAGATAGATAGATAGATAGATATACTTTTTCACAAGTTGGTAAATTGCAGTGTAGCCGCAGCTTTACACATAGTGACAGTGACAAAACATTGAGGTAAAAGTAAATAACAACTAGATGTTATAACAACATAAATGCAATATATGAATGTGTGAATAAATATGGTGCAATGCACAGAGTATATATAATGTACATGAAGAACAGCACAGTGCTGGTTACTGTACGCTGAGACAAAAGTTTATTTTTCTATTATAGAGTGTGACAGCATATGGAAGGAAGGATTTCCTGTATCTGTCCCTTCTACAGCGGAGCTGGAGCAGCCTGTGAGAGAGTGTGCTCTGCTGTCTGACCACTGTGTGATGGAGAGGGTGCTGATCATTGTCTATGATGGATAAGAGTTTATTCAGTGCTCTCCTCTCCACCACAGCCTCATAAGACTCCGGCCCATGAGTACAGCTACAGAGCCAGCCCTCCTGATGATTTTCTCCAGGCTTTTTGTGTCGCTGGCTCTGATGCTGCTGCCCCAACACACAGCAGCAAAGAAAATGGTGCTGGCAACAACAGACTGGTAAAAGATCTCCCAGCATATTGCTGCACACGTTGAAGGATCTCGGCTTCTTCAGTAAATAGATTCTGCTCGTCCCCTTCTTGTGTTTGGCCTCAGAGTTAGACCTCCAGTCCAGTCTATCGTCAATCATTGCTCCCAGGTATTTATAGTCCTTCCCCTCTTCCACCAGCTCCCTCCTAATCTGTGGTGGCTGTGAAGGCATCTTCTTCCAACTGAAGTCGGTCACCATCTCTCTGGTCTTGTTGACATTTATTCTTAGGGGATTCTGTTCGGAACACTCCACAATGTTTTGTACCAGTGTCCTGTCCTCCCCCTCCTCTCCCTCTCTTAAACACCCAACAAGCTGAGTCATCAGAACATTTCTGTAGGTGACATGACTCAGTTGTACTTATAGTCAATGGTATATAAGGTGAAGAGGAAGGGAGAAAACACAGTTCCCCGTGTCACTGACCACCACATCAGACCAGGTTCTGCCCAGATGGACCAACTGTGACCTGCCTGTCAATTCAGGAGATCCTTATGTCGTCCACACCCATCACATGCAGCTTCTCACCCAGTAGCAGAGGCTGAATGGTGTTGAGCATTATTCTTTTCCCCATTTTTTTTTAATTGGCAGTACACTGTCAAAATTACAGTGCAACAAAATTCCCTCTCTGCATGTAACCCATCCCCTTGGGGAGCAGTGGGCTGCCATTTGGGGCTCGCTAAGGGCTTGCTCAGAGACCCAGAGTGGCAGTCTGTGGGAGTGGGTTTCGAACTCACAACCTCAGGATTCCAAGCCATATGGCCTTGAATGTATTGTTTCTTAGTATCAATTTCACATATTCTGTTCAAAATTTGATTGTAAAGGGGTAGGCAATATGAAGATTTATTTTAGTTTCCTACTCAAAAAAGTAGCAGAATAATTATCTCTATAAGTTAAAGCTCTTGTGTGTAATTTTCAGCGCCATCTAAAGGTCAGACTGCAGACTGCAGCAATAGGAGGCTTCGGTACGGATTGTTTACATTATAGACGCACAGATCAGGATTTTGGGAATCCATCAACAAAATCAGCATCTGATCACCGCTTCAAAAATAAAAAATAAAAATGCTTCCATACTGTTGTCTAATGTACATTAACACTGTATTGTTAAGTATAACATTTAGAAGATGAGAACTTATCATGAATTCACCACTCTTTTAGTGCAGGAGACAGGAAAGCATTAATTAATCAAAATGGAAGATAGGAAAAAAATAATGTTGACAAGAAAAAAGCTGTTTTACTTGAGACCTAGAAGGATTGTTCGTCTATCTCAACGTAGACCATCACTCCAGTGCTCTGTCTGCCCACAAGGTCCTCTGATCCTGAGCGGTCCTCCTCCTACCTCCAGTAGTTTGCCTAGAGGCTATCCTTGGCCTGCCACTGCCTCTTCTCACCCTCTCTCCCTGGCAGAGTGAGACAGGGTGAAGTGCTTCTCATGGTCAGAGTCTTTCTGCTTTGATTTCCAGGCAGACTTATCCAGTCTACTTCCATCCAGCTTCTTTCCTCTGCAGATAGCTTCTATAGCCAGTCTGGGTCTGATCCGATGCTGTCTGAGCAAGCATGGACCAAGCAATGGAGAAAGCAGTTTACATAGATTTTATAAAAGGTATCTTATTAGTCTTCATCTGATAAAGATTTGATATGGGCCTAACTTCATGCAGTAACATTTCCAGCATAATGGCCGTCTCTATAGTCACTAGTTTGTTAGTTCTGCAGTGCTGTAGCACAATGTTGTTTGCCTCCATGCAAACGCATCTCACTCCTATGTAATTATAAATAGTGATTTCTAAGGCAGTGCAAAAAACATAAAGCTTGAGACTTTCAGTTCATAAATGATAATAACATACTTACATATATTACATTTCTATCAGTAAATGCCTAAAATTATTCCCACTGTAGCTTTAAAGTAAGTGAACAATGGAAGTTTATCCCAATAACATGCAATTTAGCCAAAACAAAGCTGTTATAATATAAAATACATATAACAGCAAATCATTATTTACAAAACTATGCCAATTAAAAAAAAATCTAAATGTCTGACTCCCACGTACCACAATGTACATTTATATATATTTATATATATATATATATATATATATATATATATATATATATATATATATATATATATATATATATATATATATATATATATATATGTGTACATTTATTTTTATATATATATTCTTTGTTGCTTCTGCTTATTTCCGTGAAGAGTGGTTTGCATTTCAATTCTTTCAGCAATACTTTCTTTGTGCAATAGTTTCAAGTTATTTGGGGTATGACTACCAGCATTATGCATTTTTATAAAATGTACAGTGGATGGAGTGTACCTTTGAACATATTCGGCTCAGTATGTTTGAGGGATTTGGGTAGAGACATTAACTGGGCCTAACCTGCTTAGGTTTTATTGGACCCGTACAAACAACAACTACATGCAGTTAAGGAAGGTTTGAATAGTTAACTGACACAAGAGGTCAGTAAATGGTTCTTTGGGGCTCAGGAGAGGTGCCCTGAAGGGCAGTGAAAAAGCAGAATTAGGAGAAGTGGAATATGGGAAGTGAAGAGGGCAATGAAGAAGAAGAGGGAACTTAATTCTTACCTTTTTTGGAGGTGATGAAGATGCAACAAGGCAAGTAAACCCACAGAGGTGGATGTTGCAGATTTGTGGTGAGCGATATAGGATCGCAATGAAAAGATCAGAGAGATTTCCAGAATGAGTTTTCTTAAGATGCAAGAACTGGGAGGATGTGAATAAAACCCTGGATGGAGCCAGATACTGGAGCGGATATCTTCTGCAAAAAGGAGGATATTTTCACTGCCAAATTTTTGGCTCGAAACCTATTTTTATTTGCTGGACTTTAACCCTGGCAGGACTAACCTTGTTTATAGCAAATCCTTATTGCTGAGACAGACTGGTCCAGGGTGTATCTCGTCTCTCGCCCGTAGACTGCTGGAGGTCGGCACAGGCTCCACAGCAACCCTGACAGGAGCTAAGCGGGAGAAAATGGATGGATTGAAATTCTTATTGCCTTATTTTATATGTTTATGTCGTATTTTATTCTGATATTGTGTTTTACTTTTTCTAGCTTTTTAGCTTTGAATGCTGTAACCACCATGCTTCATTGTGTGTGCACAATATATATATATATATAAATATATATATATATATATATATATATATATATATATATATATATATATATATATATATATATATATATATATATATATATATATATATATATATATATATATATATATATATATATATATATATATATAATTAGAGTACCTTTATGGTTTCAGACCCATCTACAGTAATTACTCTCTTGGGGTGAGGCTGGCTGAAAAAAGTAGTTGCCTCAACAGGAGTGAGAGTACAACATGATTACTGGGAGAACAAAGGCAGCAATTTTCCTTTGTTGTTTAGGGAGTGAGAAAAAAAGATGCAGTTTTAAACAAAGTTATTTCATAAACATCTGTTGCATTACATCCTCATGTATTTCAGCAAATTACTTCAAAAGCTTTATAAAACAGATGCAAGTGAATACATATTGGTAAATGGGTTGTTAGAAATCAAACATTTTGTAAATGTAATGGAATAAGGCTAATAAATTGTAAATAACTTTCTCATTTTCCAAAGTTTTCCCCCTAAATTCTTTGACATAACATGTTTAGTCTTTTACATTATTTTAAAGATACATTCTTTGCATATTTGTTTTAACTTAGCCACACTGGAGGATTTCTGGGCCTAAAATGGAAAATGACAAACTCTCTAGTCTAGAGGCTTCCAGAATGTCTGTTGGGTTTGGGCCATTGGCCTGTCCTGTTCTGTTAAAAAGGGTTTGATAGAGCATCCATAGCTGCAAAGTTACGCAACAGGAGGATTAAGCGCATGCGTCGAGCTTGTGGCAGGAACTTTTGTCCGTCTGTGTTTGAACGATCAGACAAACCCGCACTCAGAAATCTGGCTGGTTTGTGTTATCGTTTAAAATCTTATTTTCTTTGGGGGGTTTTTGTTTTGTTTTTTTATATATTTTTTATTTCATTTTTTATCTTATTTTTTTATTATAGAAAATAAAATTAAAAAATACCTTACTTTTTTATTTTTTACAAATAGGCCTCATTAGATAAATAAATGTGGAATATCTATTAACAAAAAGAGGCAGCAGTGGTGATTCTAGACCAAATCTACCAGGGGGCCAGCGTGTTTTCATGGGGAGCATAGAAAAGCATGAAAAAAAATAAGTTGAAATTTAAGTTAAAATTCCCGTTTTCTAAAAAATCTGAATTAGAACTCAAAAACAGACAAATTCAGCTGTAAAAATTAGAGTATTTTGTTTTGTTTTGAAAAAAAAAACATTTAGCAGATGAAAACTACTTTTTCTAGTGTTAGCTCAAAAAAATACTTTTTTCCAGGACAATAACATTTTTATAACATACATTTTGCATACTTTTAGCTGTTATTGCTGTCTTCATCAGCGTTTAAACAATGTAGATACTGTAAAAAAAAAAAAAAAAGAAAAAAAAAGAAAAAGAACAATAAAAACGTGTCATTCAATTCAAGGTGAGCGCAATGGAAACCGGAAACCCAAGTGACGTCAGCACAGGAACTGGCAGGTAGTCTCGGGGAGTGTCCTTTAAAACCAGGTGGGACCATAGATATCTGGGTGGGACGTTATCGGACATTTTAGACCGAGAAACTATCAGAGTGAAGAGTTTGGAGTCCTGGCGCACAATATGGAATCTAAACGGGCTTTGATTCTTCTGTTGGTGCTTTGCTCTGTTTTTGCGCAGGAAACGCAACAACAAGGTAATTTAAGCTCCGGTTTTGTTCGGTAGGCTGTCAAAGTTTAACTAAAGGAAGTTGGTTGTTTTGTTGTTGTTGTTTTTTTACCGATCAAAGGCTCCTATAATAATATTAGGGTTTTCATATTAAAGCAGCAAACTGTTACCAAACTGTGGAGCATTAATCTGACTCATTATTAATAGATAAATATGTTAGATCCTTCTAGAGTTTCTGAAATTACTAAACGGTCAATTGATACATTTTTTTGTTTGCTTTAAGACTAGAAAGAAAACAAACAATGATAATATATACTGTTAGGAATCTGATCTATGAACTAGCTGTTTTTCAGCTCTTGTTTTTTTAGGAGTCGTCATTCTTTGCTGCTTTATGTGTTTTTTTTGCTTCCTAATCTAATGTTTCACAGCAATTCTAATAAAGAAATAATAATAAAAAAAAATTATAATAATATATATATATATATATATATATATATATATATATATATATATATATATATATATATATATATATATTCACCCTCTAGTTCTAGAGTTTTCGGTATCAGGACATAGGTAAAATAATTTGGAACCTGGGAATAATAAGGAGGCACAAAGTGTACGAGCCATTCAGTTGATTGCCTCAGTGTTAAAGAATTCAGCTGATAGGATCTTACTGCAGTATCACCAGATTCTATTATCTTTCTGTCATTCTAATGTTGATCGGCTTCTCTGCTGCGATCCGCTTTCTGTGTGCATGTTCCAGTTTCTGCCAAACCTCAGCTGGCACTCTGATCACCTCCTTGTTTTAGAGGAATCTCTTTCAGGGATGTGAAACTGGTTCCACAAAGGGCCGTGTGGCTGCTGGTTTTCTTTCCAACCAGGCAGTAGCAAGCCAAACTCCAGTCATCCCATCATGTGATTTCAGCGGTACCCTGATAATTGACCAGCAGTCACACAACCCTTTCTGGACCCAGTTTGACTTCTAGCAGCTGAAAAACCAGCCCATATCCTCACCCCTGTACTGTCGTGCTTTTCAATGGGTACAATGTGTTTGTGCCTGGATTATTTTGCCCTGTAACTACGCCAAAGTGGGTATGGCGGATTGCTTTCTGTCCTTGCATTTTGGCACCACACCCGCTATGTTTAGAGCAGCTTTGAGTAAACAATCCTTTCATGGAGGTTGTGACATATTGGAGGACCAGTTTTCAACATATTTAATTTTCTTTGTGCTAACTTAACCTTAACTGGATTTACTTTAAAAAAAAACAGACAAAGGGCAAAATAGCTATATTTTGTTTAAAATGACATTGAAATTATATTAATGTTCAGTGGTGTGTTTAAGAAATGTTTGGCATGCACTACCAGCATTGTCTCCTCCCACTTACACAAGGAGGGAAACGTCATACAGTGATGAATTGGCTGGGATATCAGATGACTAGCTAAAAAATTAGAACGTGTCAAAACAAGATCCATAATGAGAAGACTACAAATTTCCCGGTCAGTTTACTAAGCAAATTAAGCATCGGTTAAATTAAAAAATAATCAAAGAACTCTTTAGTTAACCTAAAACAATAGTTACTGTTTGGATAGTTAGTATAAAATGGCTGAAGGAGGAATTGCTTTTTTTCTAACTTGGAAAGAAAGTTAGATTGCTCAAAAAAATATCAGGAGTATTGCAGATAGTAGGGATGTCCCTATACAGCTTTTTGATTTCCAATACAATAATGATATTGCAGCTTAAAAAAATGGCTGATACCAATACTGACCTGATATAAAAGTAGCAAAAATCATACATGCTTTTATCACTTATTTTGTATGGAGAGTGCTTTCATTTGAAATCCATTCAGTAAATAACCCATTAAAAAAACAAAAGCTAAAGTAATGATCATATTTTATTGTATTTCAAAATGTTTTACGTCTTCAAAGATTTATTTCTTGATGGAATTTAAAGTTTTGAATATTATTTTGTAAAATGCTTATATTCAAATAAGGAGGCGCAGTTTTAGCTGTCGGGCTTTACTGGTTAGGATCAATCATCTGGTTTGAAGAATAATCAAATCAAAGTATTCCCTCTTGTTGAGCTCTGTTTGGTCCTGTCCCGACCCGATCTGTTCCTGAAGCTCATTGTGCATGTGCAAGCAGATATTCAACCAGGTCGTCATAAATAATGTAATTCTGGTACTAAATGTACTAATTTTCTCCTTGAATAATCAAAAAATAAAAAAATTGCATTGGAGTTAGCTTACATTAATTTTCCTTTATTTTTACAATTGTTTTTAACATGCTCTCCATTAAATTGTGCCAACAGAGTACAGCCAACAGAGCAACCCAGTTAGAGCAATAATTATACCAAAATTGTAAAAAAGATTTATAAACATTTTGTATTAAAGATTAAAAAAAAAAAGTTGACAGTCTATGCATCTATCCAGAACTGGAAACATTTCAGTTTCACCTGGTTTAATTACATTTTAAAAAGGAACCTTCGGCTATCAGATTATTAATGAAAACAAATAGTTAACGGATTAATCAAGTTTCAAAAAATGTCAGTTGCAGCCCTAATATATTGAAAAAGTTTTTCATCTGCTGCTTTAAGCATTCCAAAAATAACATTTTTGAAGTGGCCTGGTATAACCTAGGCGTATAAGCATTTCAGGAGTAAAATGCATCAGGTGTCACATTAATATGATCCTTATAACAGATATGACAAATAATTCAAGTAAATAAACATAGGAATTCCAAGCACAAATCTGTTTTAACTCTAAAATCTTTTTTTTTTTTTTGTCTATTTTAGGTCGAGGTATTGCTGGAATTGTGTTAAAAGGTAGAGATGAAGTGGGTGTTAATGCTGTGGAAGCAGGTATACTGAAGAGCGGCCTCACCACTGTGTTCTTCCCGATCATCTACACCATTGTGTTTGTGGTCGGGCTAATTGCCAACGGGATGGCCCTATGGGTGTTCCTCTTCAGGACCAAGAAGAAGTACCCTTCCTCCATCTACATGGCCAACCTTGCCTTGGCTGACCTGCTGTTTGTCGTTTGGATCCCCCTGAAGATCTCCTACCATGCACAACAAAACAACTGGTTGTACGGGGAGCCCTTGTGCAAAGTCTTTGTGAGCTTCTTCTATGGGAACATGTATTGCTCGGTGCTCTTCATCACGTGCCTCAGTGTGCAGAGGTACTGGGTGGTGGCACACCCGCTGTCCACACAAAAGAGGAACAATAAAGTTGCTATTTGTGTCTGTGTGGCCATCTGGGTGTTCATTTGGATCAGCTCTATTCCTCTGTACCTATATGACCAAACAGCTAAGATCCACGGCATGAACATAACAACCTGCCATGATGTTACAAAAGTAGATGAGCTTGATCGATATTCTTCTTTGAAGCACCCCGTCTTCTACTTCATGTTCATGAGCACAGTGGCGTTCTTTGTCCCATGCATAGTGATCGTTGTGGCGTACGTCCTGTTGCTCAAAACCCTGTCGACCAACGTGATAGACAGCACAGGATCAAAGACACGCAAGAAAGCCATTGTGTTGATCGCAGTTGTCCTGGTGACCTTCCTCATATGCTTCGTCCCTAGCAACATCATGCTGGTGGTTCATTACGCCCTGCTGAAAGCTGGAGAAACAAACTCCCTCTATGGCTTTTACATCACAACGCTTTGTCTGTCCAGCCTCAACAGCTGCATAGACCCTTTCATCTACTACTTTGTGTCGGACGAGTTCAGGGAGCACGTGAAGAACACATTGCTGTGCCGGAGCAGCAGAAGTGTGGAACGGGAGAAGGCCACGTTCAGTTCCATGAAGTACTCCAAGAAGAGCAAATCATTTGTGTCGGAGAGCACCAACACTGAGAGCAGCCATTGTTAGAGACAGAAAACGGACAGATCAGATGCTGCACTGTGCCTCTCTTGTGCACTGGTGATGTAGTCCACCGTCACTCGGCTCAGTACTCAACCAAAGATGAACTCTGAACTTTAAGAGCACTGCAATTTGAAATGTGTTTGTTATATTATGAGCCTCAGGTCAGTGTCAGAATGTGAATAATAGTTTTTTTTTTATATTTTCTGTATATATAGATGTTAAAGTGTGGAGATTAACTTTTAAAGACTGACATTTATTGCATGAGATGCACTATTCAGGCTTTTCCCAGCTGGTTTCTGATGTTGACTGCAATATTTAAAGGAAAAACAAACTTCTATTACTTGTAAAACAAAGTTTTTCTATTAAACTTGCAGCTCATAACTCAACAAAAAATGTAAAAAAAAAAAAAAATGGAATCTTTTGTCTGATTTTTTTTATTTTATTTTTGTAATGATTTCATTCTAAAAATGCCCTAAACACACATTTTAGACTAAAAAAGGCATTATTTGTGTCTATGCATGTAATAATTAAGAACAGTTTTCAGGTTTTCCAGTGTTTTTCCTGATAATCCTCAATCAAAGAAGATGATTGTCCATTCCTGTCTCTAACCGATTGATTGGTGCATCTTATGTCTATTTTATATTGTAGATAAATGTATTTTTTTTTCTCTAAAAATTGCCATTATGGTTCAGTGTCATTGTAATAACTGAGTAAAACGATGCACAAATACAAATATTTATTTTTTTAAGTCATATTTTTCGATGCCTGTTCAACTCCCTTCTTGCAGCTGTTTAAGCTCGTTTTAAAGTTTATTTGTTAACCTTTGGCATTGTTACGTATTTCCTTAAATAAACAGGACAATCCACAGTTTTTGTGAAACTCTGTTGTTCAGTTGCATCATTTGTTGTGTTGAGTCACGTAGCTCAGGGTCATCCGGCAGACGAGCAGAATGTATATTTAGCTGGCTTAGTTAGAGCCTTGGGAATTCTTGGAATGTGTTGTTCAAAGTTAGAGTAGCACAGCGCATTGCAGTTACTCACAGGTTGGATGGAGAGAATGCCAATGAGTAAGAGATTAGAAATATTTTATCGAAGATCTAAGGAAGGTGTCATCTCTTTGGTTTCAGTGCTGAATGACTGAGATTTTATTTTCACAGTAGGATCTCTGTTAGTACATCACGTCCTGTTGCTAGAGGTGTTTATCCAAAACAGAAATGCCTTTCTACTCCATTTATGGTCTTTCACATCAAGATAAGCAGGTGAACAAGTTGTATTCAAACTTTAACCACACCTTGATCGTCTCCCCCATCCCCCTCCAGGTTAAACATGTAGTGCTGCAGAACCCTGGGTAAATCATTGGCTCGGAGTGTCACCTTACCTTTTGTCAGAGCAGAATGCCGTCCTTTAAGAGGAAAGCCGCGCCCTGCTCACATTACACCAACACAGCTCTTTTACAAACGGCTGTGGCTGAATATCGTCTGAAAGGAACCAAAGAGCAAGAGATGGATTAAACAATAGTGCAAAACATGGCTACGTATAGAACATCGATGCTATTAAACAACTTCCACTAGTACAGTGTAAAGTTTTTAATGTAAGAAGGATCTATGGAAGACCAGGAGAGTCACCAAAAAAAAAATATTCAACCATTTCAAATTGTACAAAAATCAAATTTGCAAAACATTTTTTAGTAAATTAAAGATCAAATGTAAAAAAAAAAAATAAATAAATTCAAAAAGTAAAATAATAAGCAAAATAAAATTTTCTAGTCTTTTCTGTAACTGCATTTATTTTAATTCTATACAGTTAGAGGTAGAGCTCCCTGGAGGGGTAGCGAAACGTCTTCAAATCTTGAAAACCAAGTCCAGTGGATTTTTTTTTTTACTTTTACGGAATCACTCAGACCTGGATGACTGAGAATCTTCATCAGCATCTATACAGTTAGCTTTCTCTGAACCTTCTTGTCCCTGCACATTTCCTTAGCAGTTTCTCTTTTCCATTTAGTTTTTTTAGTGACCCTCCTGGTCCCCAAACCAACTTTATTATTGGGTGGACGGCCACACTTGTATCACAACATGATGGCAATCCTCCATAGGGATGTAGACCAAAATTAAATGAAAAGAGTCTTAAAAAAAAATTATGATTTTGTACATTTAATAAAATTTGCCCAATTTCTTAATCTTGTCATTCGACTTTATCTGCATCTTGCCCCAGTTAGTTTGGTCGACTTGATAACAAAAGTTCCATTTACCTACAGTATAGTACAGAAGAGGATTAGGGCCACTGAAAAAAAAAAAGTTAACTGATTTTTTTATTTTATTTCAGTTTAACATGGGGAAAAAGTCAGAATTCTGAATTTAATCTCAGAATTCTGACTTTAATCTCAGAATTCTGACTGAATTCTGACAATAAAAAAAGTCAGAATTCTGAGATTAAAGACAGAATTCTGACTTTTTTTCCCCATACTATACTGAAATAAAATGTAAAAAATCAGTTAACTTTTTTTTATTTTTTTCAGTGGCCCTTATCCTCTTCCGTAGTATAGCATTTAATGCACTGTGAAACATATTTCTTCTTTTTGTGTGGTGATTTGATTTCTGCAATGTTTTTTTTCTCCTTTTTTTGTTTTGTTTTTTTCAAGGAGAGAAGCTATTTTCTTGCAATAACAACTGCCGTTGAGTATTTGGAATGCCCTGTGTATTTAAATATCACAGTTTCATCTCAGGGGACTCACCTAGATGAAGTTACATTGCACTATATTCTGATTAAAAGCAGAATTCCTCCCACGCAGTCATGCTTAGTTGGAAGCAACTAGACAGCCCTAGGCCATGATACTACCATCACCATGTTTCACATTCAGTATGATGTTATTTTTTCTGAAATTGTGCAAGTTTCATATATTTATCAGGATGCACTCCCTGTGTGTTTAAGTATCACAGTGTCATCTCAGGGGACTCACCTAGATGAAGTTACATTGCACTATATTCTGAAGGCAGAATTCCTCCCATCCAGTCATGCTTAGTCTGAAGCAACTAGACAACTACATCTTTTTTTAAATTCACAGGATATTTAAATTCAAGCATTGTGGATTTATCAAGTTGTGTTTTGGGAAACATCTGATGGGCAGTGGTTTTCCAGATAAAACTGTTATGGGCACCATTTGCACCCAGCCTCTGTTGTTGATTCATGAAGTCTCTCCTTTACTAAGACCTGGATGAATTATCAAAGCACTATTTAAGAATTTCTGTTTGCTTTCTCACTTCTTATGGGGTACTTTATGGTTCCTTGTTTTCCAACGTTTTTGGAAATGACTTTGAATGTTCTTTACTGGAATCTTAAAGGCTAACCCTTTTCCAGAATGACAAATATCCAAGGCTTTTTTAGTCATGTTTTTGTAATATTATGGATAATATGTTGAGCCTAAATGTCTGGCAGTAATGACACATAGATGTTAAAAAGGCCATTAGGCTGAGCTGCACAAAGACTGAACTAATTATAATATTATATTTTTACACAGGGCCCATTTGGATTGTTTTTTCCCCCCCTCAAAATTAATTTAAAAAAGTCTTTAATTTGAGTAATTTGAGGACATGATGCACTAGTAATCCAATTATTGTTTTTCAAAAACTCTTATCTTGCTTTTAACTTTAAGTCTTTTGACTATAGAAGGGATTTCTTTAATTTCTTCACTCATAAAAAAATAATAATGCAGTTTTTTTAATTCGCTTGATGAAAGCAGAGTTCAACCAAAAAAACCTTTTTTGTTGGAACAGTTTAAACATTTTTTGTTGCCATGACATTAGTAGTCATTTCTCGTTGTTTTTTTATGGTTCTCATGTTCAAACTGAAACAGGGAGAAACAGTTCCTTCCCCCTGCTGCTTGGAATGACCAATCTGATCTGACGCTGTCAGAACTTGTTTAGCTGAAAGCCCTCCACTCTGTCTTAAGAAAGCCATAATCAAATTCCTCGAAGATTGTCTGTATTTTAAGTCTGAAATAAATATGTTTTAAATGTTCTCCTGCTAGTGCTCTTTATTTGTTGAAGTTCTCACATCTTATGTATTTGCAGAGGTGTCAAAAGTATTAATGTTCATTACTCAAGTTGAAGTAGAAATCCTGCTGTTTAAAAACACTTTTATAGAAGCTAGAGTATCAACTCAAGTTTTTACTCAAATAAAAGTGTAAAAGTACCATTTTTAAAACTACTTAAAGTATAAAAGTAAAAGTAATTCAGTAAAAAACATTAAGGACAGATGCTTTAAACCATATACTGGTTACTGCACTACCTTATTACAGGAAAATTTTTCTACAATTCTGGAAGATAATTCACTTAAACGTTTCTTATTTTTATAACTAATGACAGCAGTGTGAAATGTAGCTTTGCATAATCTTGCAAAACGATATATTTTGGTATGTGGGGAAAAACAAGTTGGTGCAGCACCGATTCCAACCACAAAGAAATGAAATGTCTGGATGTGCTGGTGAAGATTCTCAGTCATCCAGGTCATATTGCAAAAAAAACCATCCAATGGACTTTGTTTCCAAGATTGAAGACATTTCGCTTCCCAACCTGGAAGCTTTTTCAATTCAAAATGTCAGAAATAGCGTTGAGTTTGAGGCTTTGCAGCACTTACTCTTTATTGTTTTTGTATCGACAAGTGGATTGTTGTTGTTTTTTTTTATTTTTTGGAAATTGTCTGGATGAAACAAATTATTTTGACTTTTCTTATTTTTTTAAATACCACCAGGCCATAACGAAAATCAGCTTAAATTTAAAAAAAAATTGATTAGCCTATTATTAAAATGTAAGGAGTAGAAAAGTAGAGATAATTGCAAAAAGATTGAATTGGTAGAAGTAAAAATCTGTCTAAAAAGTAATTACTCCAATTAAAGTATAGATAAGCAAAATTTCTACTAAAGTAAGGTAACAAAGTATTTTTACTATGTTACTTGACACCTCTGCGTATTTATATTGTATATGGTTTTTTTTCTTGTTTATCTATCTTGTCCACTGAGATTTCTTGATTTCTATGGGTCTGTTAATGGTTTAAAGGTTCAATTAAAAGAAAATTGACATACATGTCTATGTTTTTCTGCTGATCTAAGGGCTGCAACAATTATGGGACTACACAGTGGAAAAGTACTGCACAGTTAACATGCTAATGGAATCTGATCAGACACATAACTGTTTCAAAAGGGATTAGTTATGCAATATCCTGACTTTTTTGCTCTTAGAGTGTTTCATATGGAAAAAGAATTGTTGAATGGTTAGAATATGAGATTTTACATAACATTTATAATGACAACCTTTAGAGGCTGGAGTCATTTTTCACTGGCTTATGTCTACTTTTGTTTTGAACCTAAACTTTTACTAAGTTGGCTCTAAAGCTTGCTCTGTTCCATCAAACTGAAGTGGCTGAGACTGTTATCTTCTACCGCTAAAATGTTGGCCTCTCAAAACATGAAAATGTTTTGTTGTGTATAAATATAAAAATATTGATATAAAAAATATATAAAAATATTTATATTTATACACAACTTTTTACAGTCCCTAACTATTACGTTTTGGTTGTACATACACCTGTTATAATATGTATATCCTGTATAGCACTTCTGGATAGATGCAAACAACATTTCTTTGCTTTGTACTCGTGACAATAAAGTTGAATTCTAATCTATTCCATTCTATTCTATTCTATTCTATTCTATTCTATTCTATTCTATTCTATTCTATTCTATGTGTTGTGAATTGGTGCTATATTAACAAACTGAACTGAATTGAATTATATTACCACCCAATTGTAATCTATCTGGCAAACATGTACTTTTACCAACCCTAATCCTAGTTAAACTAAAATTCAGTCTGACATGTTTTGTTCTTG